TTTTATTTATTTATTTATTTGAGATAAGGTCTCACTCTGTTGTCCCAGGTCAAAGTGCCATGGTGTCATAGCTCACAGCAACAACAAATTCCTGGGCTCAAGAGATCTCTTGCCTCAGTCTCCTGAGTGCTGGGATCACAATGCCCAGCTAGTTTTTTATTTTTAATAGAGATGGGGTCTTACTCTTGTTTAGGCTGGTCTCAAACTCCTGAGCTCAAGTGAACCACCTGCCTCGGCATCCCAGAGTGCTAGGATTACAGGTACCCAGCCTAGAATGACTTACAGAGCTACGAAGCTGGTGCCAGGGGTGGCACCAACCAAAGTTGGTGGCCCAGAGAAGGAGCACAGCTGTCTAGTTCTTTGGGCACCCAAGATAGTGCTGCTCAATATCTTCTGAAAATAGTATGTGTCCATCTTTAAATTTTGAAAATTGAGAAGGGCTTTTCCGCTGGATGGGTCTGAGAGAAAGGCCTGATTGTTCCTGACGGTGTTCACGGGTCTTCTACCCTCACTGGCCAGTCTGAGGAATGGGAGGCCACACAAAGAGTCCAAGAGGAGGGTCGGGGGTGTGGATGTCTCCTCACCTGAGTATTTGGGGTGTACTGCATGCGGGAGATGAAGCCCTCGGCCACTTGGAGGGCTGCCTGCCGCTCCTTCTCGTTTGCTTTTCGCCCTGGATCATAGGAGGGAACGTTTTAAAAAGTGCAGAGGCCCCCACTCCATTTTTCTTGAGAGAAGTTAAGGGGGGCACAGAATAGCTGGCAATTTTAAAAATAAATGTACCAAGAGGTCTCAAGAATGTTGAGGGACTCTTTGGAGGTAAGAGTCAGCCCCTTAAGACTTTTTCCAAACTGGCAGCACCAAGCTAGATGAAAACTCTTCTACCTGGGTCTGATCACCAAAACCTTCTCTGACAGAGGTCCCAGTGACATTTCAGGGAGAGAAAAATGGGTGTCTTCTTTAGCATCAAACTCCTGAGCACAGAGGCCCCTCTTCCCGCCAGAACCCCTTGCCTCTTCAGTCCATAATTGTACTGATACCAAGCCTTTTTTTTTTTTGAAACAGAGCCTCAAGCTGTCCCCCTGGGTAGAGTGCCATGGCATCACAGTTCACAGCAACCTCCAACTCTTGGGCTCAAGTGAGTCTCTGGCCTCAGCCTCCCAAGTAGCTGGGACCACAGGCACCCGCCACAACGCTCGGCTATTTTTTGGTTGCAACTGTCGTTGTTTGGCGGGCCCCAGCTGGATTCGAACCCGCGACCTTGGGTGTACATGGCTGGTGCCTTAGCCACTTGAGCTACAGGTGCCGAGCACCCCCCCCCTTTTTTTTTAACTAAATAGGATGAAGGGTGCAATTTATTATGGAGGTGAACTTAACTCCCATAATCAGCAAGCCTACCCTGGCCAAATGGTTACACTAACAAAGCACTTATAAAAATGAAGATCCCACATAATCCATTCACTTGTGCAGGCAGTCTAGTGAGGACAACCTGGGGTCCAGTTCCAGGCATTTTCCCAAAGAAACAATGCTGCAATGGGTGGTTGGCTATCCCTCCAGACTATAAAAATCCTAT